AGTGGTCTCTGAATCCCAGTATATGGAAATCGACGGAATTTTGTCGTTTTTCTGTTTTTCAGTCCATTTTTGCATGAAGCATAAATGATTTTCTTTGACATTATTTTTACAGTTCCTACAGTAGACAAAACCACAAACGTGTTCCCTCCTTCTCAATAAGCAGTAACTCGTTTCACATTGCATGCAAAACCTGTAGGCATCGCATTTAGTAAGATTACTATTAGGGAGCTTCTTGTTTTTGTGGTTTTCAAAACATTCTCCCCTCACAAATTGGTGGCGGCATTGGTCACACCGTATCAAAGTGGAATGCGCGTCCAAGTGATTTGCTGGACCTAAACACCTCCAGCAAGTCTCCTCACACCTGTGCTCACCTACGTGAGAATAAAATTTCACGCATTTCTCGCAAAGATACTTTTTATCAAAGACCTGACGGGGGTAAAGTACAGCAAAAAAGTGATTTTCAATCATCAGGAGATAAATATTCTGTCGTTCAATGGTCCAGGGCCCTTTAAATAAACATTCTTTTCCCTCTCTGTCTCCGAAAACGCAGAGTCTGAACGACGGCAGGGCATCTTGTAATCGCCGCACGTCGTCCAGCGTGCAGGGTTGAGCAGGATCAATGTGAGCCGCTTCACATAAGGCAAGAGCTTCCTTTCGCTGAATGAGTGACTGTGGCTTTTTCATTTTGTAAAACGCCTGGCGATGCATCTTTCCACGCGCGATGGCCACAGCAACACTCCTCGTCAGACATAGGTTATCATCACTACTAGAGCTCTATTTAGTTAAGCTCACGCCGTCGCGAGGGGGCGAGAGCGAGGGGGCGAGGGCGTGAGAGCGTGGGCCGAGGGATGCAAAAGTGAGGTTATATTCTAATGCTGGAACGTCAGAATACTGCTCACAGCAACCATAAGGTAGACTAAAACTACAGAGAGCATGCAGAGAGTCTTTTGCGACTCAAATTTTTGCCGCTATGGGATCATAACCTCACTTTTGGAAGTATAAAGACTCCCCCCACCTCGGCCCACATCCACGCTCTCACGCCCTCGCCCCCTCGCTCTCGCTCCCTCGCGACGGCGTGAGCTTAACTAAATAGAGCTTAGGAGAGTATAGAGAGGCCGAGGCTATTTTTCTCTCTATCCACTGCTCTTCTGTCTCATGACCGTTTCGGCTGGGACGCCTTCCAGAAGGAGGCGGAGTGGGAACGTGAATAAAGCTGATCTGGAGCCTTCCCTCCAACATAAAGGACTGGTTGGAGTTGAGCACGCGTGTGAGCTGGTCCACTCTCCTCAGGGAGAACCAAAGAGGATTCTCGTGGTTGCCCTCGTTCTGGATCTCCAACACGACCCTATCATCGGGTTGGGCTTGGAGAGCTTCCACCTGGCGGGACAGCATGGTGTCAAACAGCCCCACCATGAGCTGCTCATCTGGCAGAGTGTTGCCCAGCCCCGAGACCTGCATCACCTCCTCGCGGAACGTAGTGCGGAATCGCTCTAGTCGGCGCTCCCTGGACTGCAGCACCTCCAGCGTGGGCTGCTGGGGCTGCTCCGGGGCGGGTTCCGGCGAGCAGCTGCGCGAACGGTCCCGTTTTCCACCCCGGCGGTGCGCCTGCGGGGTAGGCAACCCTTCCTGCGCGGGTGATGTGCGGGCCGGCGGCGGCGTGGTGGCGCGGCGCGGCGGAGTGGCGGGGCGCGGCGGCGAGGGCGTCCATGGCCTCCAGGGGCGTGCCGGGGCGGCCCGCGGCGGAGGGGTGGCGGGGCGTGGCGCGGCGGAGTCATCGCGGTGCTTGCGGCCGGCCGGCCGGGGCGCCTGTATTTATCCGAGCGCCGTAGTACTCTATTTGAACTTGAGGGGGCGTGCGTGTCGCGCTCCAGGGCTCCAGCGAGCGCTACTGCGCATGCGCCAGTATTGTTCAATAGTTCCAAATTAGTACTTGAGACGGCGCCACTGTCGCGCCGCCCCCAGGATAAAAGCGCGCCCCCGATCCTGGACCGGTACAGTCTTACGTCAAGCGTCGCAGTGCCAAGAAGTTCCCGAAGAAGTCGCCGCTAAGAAGAGTCGCAGCCTAAGAAGAAAACCTGTCTTTCTCAAGACATGTCTGCCCCGAAGCAGCAAGCCGTGAAGAGGGTGGCCAAGAAGAGCTTGAGCCTCAAACCCCGCGCCAAACGCCAAATTCTTGGCGACCTTGTGGCCGATCTCGGCCTGGACGAGGAGAGTCGAACCTCCGTGGCCAACGAGGAGGGAAGTGCACTGGCTGCCCCTGGTGCCGGCGCCCCCAGTGGCGTCAAGCCCGGCGTAGTTGGTGTGCTCTCGGCTTCAGAGGAGAATGCGCGCCCCGCGCCTAGCATGCCCCTGCTGGACTCCCTCGAGGTCCCCGTCGACGCGGCCGCCTCCGCGCCCGTCGACTTCATTGAGTTCCCACTGGTGCGCGGCGAGCAGGCCGCCGTCGAGGCCAACAAGGCCGCCGTCGAGGTGCCCAGTGGCGAGACCCCCCTCCCCCAGATCCCGGAGGACTTGCTCATGGACTTTGAACTGTCCTCGAGCCTCCCCCTTGCCCCACCCCCTACAGCCGTAGAGTCTTCAAGTTCAGACTTGTATGACTCCACTAGTGAGTCCTCTACCACTTCTGACTTGCTAGACCAGATGTGTAATGAGGCCTATAATCAAATGATGGCTAATGAGACTGTGGAGGAATTGGGGTTGAACAACACCCCCACTGTCATGAAAATACATGTCAGTCTAAAAAATAATTCTAGCCCCTCAGAATTCCCCTTACAGTGCATCCCAAGGGACTTTGCACTCACTAAGAATGGTTCTAAAACTATTCGAGTCGGTCTAGATGTAGCCACTGATTTTTCCCCCTTTGTGATGTTCTTCGGTGAAACCAACAAACAGGGTAATCGAATTTACCATAGAATGAGTCCAGCCGAACTGAACATCATGATGTCCCGAGAAGTCCAGATGCATGTTTTAAATGTACTGGAAAAAAGAACTGAGCTAGAACCTCTTTCCTTTGGGGATATCACGCTTTCAATTAACAAAGATAAAACATTTAATACAGTGTGTGTTGAGAAAAAAGAATCTCCCATTAAAATTTCCCTTGCTCTCTCTACATGGAAGATGGTTTACAACCTGAAAGAAAATATAGAGTACCATCTCATGAATTTGACGGAAATGTCAATCCTTGCCAGGTCTAACTTTGACCACTTTATTTCCCACTGCAAGGAATACTGTATGAGGATTGGATACAAGACACCCCAATCAGTAGTCCAGATGACATGAGACCATTCTGATAATCTGATGGCTGGAGCAATGAGAAGTTACCTGGCTTCATTCCCTATCTCTGTGAGATTAGATCTGATGTCTTATCATAAAGATTTCATCAAAGAAGCCATTTATCAGGCAATGAGAGAGGCTTAAAAATTTAAAAAATCCCCCAAAAAAACTGAGATAAAGGCAAAAAAAGGAATACAATAGTTGAAAACAAAAAAAAAGAAATATAATACTAAACCCAAAAAAAATGATAATGAAAGAGTCTGATTTAAAAAGCGCACGGAGTAGCAGGCAGGCCGTTTTCATAGAGCAATGATGACTGTAGAAAAACAATATGTTTTTCTCTGAGCTAATTAAAAATTAGAGAGAGAAGCATTCTCTCACTAAAAATATCATTGGAGAAAATCCTACAGTGTAGTGTTCAGAAACCTCCACTTTTTCTCAATAATTCTTCACTCCCTTTAACAAAAAGATACTGTGGACTGTAAATACCAATTGTGCTTTCATTTTCATAAGTGAAAACAATAGGTGTCATAAGACATCTGAGTGTGCAAACAATTCAGTCACCTCTGCCGTTCGATTTGGACCCGAGAAAGTGAGTGTCTCTATCACTCAAAATTTCACCAAAAATTTTAAAAATCTCATCAAAATGACTATCAGAGAAGCTTCTCCATTACATAAACTCTATTCAAAATGAATGGCGCACTCGGCAAGTCAATACAGACAGAGCAGCTGCCCTGTACAACTTATCTTATCACTTGAGTCTACCCAACCCAACCATCATAAGGTTATGTTGTCCATATTTCATTTCTCAAATATAGATAAATTCAAAAGTGACACTCCACTAAAACATAACGAGAGGCTCATTCCCTTCATATTCTTGCTGAGAGTCTATCACTTTTACTCAAAATAAGTTCCAAAATAAAAAAAACAGTTCTCTGAAGTAAAAGAAACAAAATGTCAACTTTCCTTCATAAATTCTCCACTCCTTAAATGAAAAAAATACTCTGGCCTCTAAATACCTAATGTGCTTAAGCTCAAATAGAAGAAAACAGAAGGAGACAAGAGTTAATCTTTGTGTACAAACAATTTAGTGTCTTGTTCCGTTGGAATTAGTGCCGAGAAACTAAATGACTCTATGTCCCAAAATTTCTCCAAAATTTTTCAAAATCTCATCAAAATTACTATCAGAGAAGCTTCTCCATTACATAAACTCTATTCAAAATCAATGGCGCACTCAGCAAGTCAATACTGAATGAGCAGCTGCTTGTGACAAGATAACATTACCAATATCGACTCACACACTATAAGGTTAAACTGTCAAACACAACATAGGTCAGAAATTAATTAATTCAAGAGTGTCACTCCACTAAAACTTAATGAGAGGCTCATGCCCTTCATGTTCTTGCTATAGACTCTATGAATTACACCAAAATAAGTTTCGAATCATATAAAAAGTGAACTGCGTTGATTAGACTCAATGAGCCAAGTAAAAAAGGAAAATTCTTGAATGTTCATCAAAATTATAATCAGACAGGCTTCACCATTCTCTAAACTCAATTGAAAATAAAAGCCAGCTTCAGCACACCAAAATAGAGGCAAAGTTTTAAGTCCCACCACACATAGTGCTCAAGTCCACTAAGAGTGACAACAATCAAATAATACTTGTCTCGAGATTAAGATAAGAGGAGAATAGGATTGACAAGGAAGAAAGTAGAGATGATTCAAAATTCAAGAAAGATTAGTTTAATTTAACCGACAACTGCTACACTTAGTCAATCATTTGCGCTTCGCCTTTTCAGCTTCAGCCATTTTCTGTAACAGAAATCACTTAGATTAATACAATGACAATGCTTACACATAATCAAGAACCTATAAAGCCCCAATCCGACTGACTCACTCACTGACTCACTGACTCACTCACTCATAGAAATGTTTGGGGTGAAGGAGTGGTCGTAGAGACTTGCGGTTTTTTCCATTCGATTCCAAATTTTATGGGAAAATTGGGAAAAATCCCAAAAGTTGAAAATTCCTCACCGTTTCCGAGAAAACCTACTTTATCTACAAAAAAGGGGAACAAATTTCTCACCGTTTCCGAGCAAACCTACTCAATCTTCAAAAAAGGGGACCGACCGACTAGAAATTTTTATTCGCCCCATCGGTAGGTCTGGTCGAGACATTTCCGAAACTGTGCCGAAATCGGGTCCTCGTCACCGGCAACATCCCCAAAAACGATAAAATAGGCCTAAATTTAACAAAATCCACTCAATCTTCAAAAAAGGGGACCGACCGACTAGAAATTTTTATTCGCCCCATCGGTAGGTCTGGTCGAGACATTTCCGAAACTGTGCCGCAATCGGGTTCTTGTCACCGGCAACATCCTCAAAAACGATAAAAAAAAGGCCTAAATTCAACAAAATCCACTCAATCTTCAAAAAAGGGGACCGACCGACTGAAAATTTTTATTCACCCTATCGGTAGGTCTGGTCGAGACATTTCCGAAACTATGCCACAATGGGGTCTCCGTCACCGGCAACATCCTCAAAACGATAAAAATAGGCCTAAATTCAACAAAATCCACTCAATCTTCAAAAAAGGGGACCGACCGACTGAAAATTTTTATTCACCCTATCGGTAGGTCTGGTCGAGTCATTTCCAAAACTGTGCCGCAATCGGGTCCCCGTCACCGGCAACACCCTCAAAACGATTAAATAGGCCTAAATTCAACAAAACCCACTCAATCTTCGAAAAAGGGGACCGACCGACTAAAAATTTTTATTCGCCCTATCGGTAGGTCTGGTCTCGACATTTCCAAAACTGTGCCGCAATCTGGTCCCCGTCACCGGCAACGCCCTCAAAACGATTAAATAGGCCTAAATTTAACAAAATCCACTCAATCTTCAAAAAAGGGAACCGACCGACTGAAAATTTTTATTTGCCCTATCGGTAGGTCTGGTCGAGACATTTCCGAAACTGTGCCGCAATCGGGTCCCCGTCACCGGCAACACCCTCAAAACGATTAAATAGGCCTAAATTCAACAAAACCCACTCCATCTTCGAAAAAGGGGACCGACCGACTAAAAATTTTTATTCGCCCTATCGGTAGGTCTGGTCTTGACATTTCCAAAACTGTGCCGGAATCTGGTCCCCGTCACCGGCAACATCCTGAAAACGATATAAAAATATCAAAATAGGCCTAAATTCAACAAAATCCACTCAATCTTCAAAAGAGGGGACCGACCGACTGAAAATTTTTATTCGCCCTATCGGTAGGTCTGGTCGAGACATTTCTGAAACTGTGCCGCAATCGGGTCCCCGTCACCGGCAACACCCTCAAAACGATTAAATAGGCCTAAATTCAACAAAATCCACTCAATCTTCATAAAAGGGGACCGACCGACTGAAAATTTTTATTTGCCCTATCGGTAGGTCTGGTCAAGACATTTCCGAAACTATGCCGCTATCTGGTCCCCGTCACCGGCAACACCCTTAAAACGATATAAAAGTTGGCCTAATTTTAACAAAATCCACTCAATCTTCAAAAAAGGGGACCGACTGACTCAAAATTTTTTATTCGCCCCATCGGTAGGTCTGGACGAGACATTTCCAAAACTGTGCCGCAATCGGGTCCCCGTCACCGGCAACATCCTCAAAACGATAAAATAGGCCTAAATTTAACAAAATCCACTCTATCTTCAAAAGAGGGGACCGACCGACTAAAAATTTTTATTCGCCCCATCGGTAGATCTGGTCGAGACATTTCCGAAACTATGCCGCAATCAGGCCCCGTCACCGGCAACGTCCTCAAAGTCATCAATCAAGAACCTATAAAGCCCCAATCCGACTGACTCACTCACTGACTCACTCACTCACTCATAGAAATGTTTAGGGTCAAGGGGTGGTCGTAGAGACTTGCGTTTTTTTCCATTCACCTCTATCCTTGTCAAAGCAGTCTTCAATATTTTCCGGACCTTGTATGCACCCATTGACTGCCACAGTAGCGAATGCAATACAAGCTATCTATTTGGGCAGTAAAAGTAGCTTATTATATGGTCTAAAGCTGTTAAATAGGCCTTTCATAGAAGCAGTACATTTACTTCCTTAGAAAATTAGCCTTTGGTCACCACGGACTTACTGAAAATACTTCGGCACGCGCCCCACACATGCGGGGGTCTGGGGGCGGAGCCCCCAGCGAGCAGCGCGAGTTAAATGTAATAAAGACAGAGAGACTTACAAGGCTTCTATCAAATAGCGGGCTGAATTTAGCTCTGCCGCGCCCACCTCTGGCCACGCGAACACGGCGAGGTTGAGGTTGAGCAGGTACATGATGATCACCAGCACGAGGAGATCCTCCACCAGATCCTCCATTAGGATCTTGAGCAGCACCACGTGCTTGGCCGCTACCTCTAGCTCCGCTGGGCACTCTGCCACGAGCATTGACTCGAACACTAGGATCACGTACATTAGCTTCACTTGGTTCGACTAACTCCCCATCTTCCACTTCATCAGGGACTTCAGCTGGGATGACGAGTACTTCAGGCGGTGGGCGCTCAGCAGTGAATCGGCTGAATCGCTCTACCTCCTCATCACTTGAATCTTCAGTCAGAGAGGGTGTGGGGATAGTCGATCCAATGCGAGGTTCTAGCCTTTCCCACACAGACTGAAACCAAAAGCGAAGAACACACAAAATGCTGCACACGGATTCAAAGATTCTTCACATCAAAGAGAAAATAACATAAAACTCACTAGTGGGCGGCGAACCTGACTCCTATGGTTGTGTTCACGTAACACGGCTTGCGAGATATCAAACTGAAACAGAAAGAAAGATACATTGAACAACACCATACAAGAAAACATAACCTCTATCACTGAACCAAGCACACGAATCAAAGCGGTTTTCTTGCAACGACACATTTTCCCTTTCGTTCCCTCGGACAAACGGATGATTTCGCCAGAGCACTTGTACGTTTTCACACCGCCAATGATAAATCTTTGAGAGAAAACAACGAAAATCGCTTCGGCACGAAAACAAGCCGTGGTCAGCCATGACACCGCGACGCTCTGGCCAGGCCGTGACGTCACCGCTGCTCCCCCACCTCCTCCCTGCCCGGCGCGTTGATTAGAAGCTAACCGCCGCACTAAGCATTTTCAAAATTCTCACAGAAATCAAACCTTTAACGTCCCGTCGCAAATGCGAGCCGCCGCGCGTTCGCCCAGTGTGTGCAAACAAAAACACACACACAAATGACCGAGATCTCTCGACCCATGCCGCTAGATCAACACGACAAATTTCGAGAGTTTTTTCACACAAATTTTCACGAATTTCACACGCGAGCTCCCTCATGCAGCGTCTCGCACAAGATTCGAAACGCGAGAACACACAAACAAGCCGAACATGCAGAGACTGAGCGACGCCCCGCGAGCACGTGGCGCAAGGGACGCTGAGTCCAGATCTCATGATTTTAACACTGTCCACACGAAAATATTACCTCACGGAAAAGGTTTTCTGAGGTGAACTCAGACACACACTCACATTGAGGACGAAACGACAAGACGCTACAAGCGAAGCACTCACCTCTGAGTATAGACTCCAGCTCACATCCAGGTCGATCACACCGTCTTCCTCCTCCTCCTTCTCCGTCTTTTCCTCTTCATCCTTCATTAATTCCTTATCCAAAAATCCACTGAGATCCTTTAGCAGCTCTTCCCAATCCCCCAGATCGGGCTCATAATCTAAATTACATTCAAAGGGATCCATTTTCTTCTAGATCACACACACTTACCACTCGGCGGACGACCTCAATGACGCCTGGACGACAAGTGACAAGATTGAACGGGCCGGAAGAGCTGGAGCCGGATACGGCCGCCAGAGGGCGCACCGGTCGTTCTAACGGCTGGCCAAATTCAATTAGTTTTCGATTTTGCGACAACCATAAAATAAAACGTAGGACATCAAAATCTCTCAAATATTTTTTCTTGTCACTAGACATAGTCTTGAAGCGTTGGCATCAGGTGTTATGCAAATTCAGAATGCACTGGCAAGGGGAGAGGGGTGGGCGATGGGGGGATGGGGGTCTGGACCACTGTCTTTTTCTCAGACAGTTTTCCCACGGACAAGACATGTCAGGGGGAGTATTGTCAATAATTCCAGAAAAATATTTCAGCCTGAGAAATGATATCAAACACGAGTCAGCATGAAGGGGACAAATGAATGAAAGAGTGTTTGAGGCAGGTCGCGGACAGGGGGTGGGGGCGCGCCAGCACAGCGTGGCGCGGCGTAGTGTCGCTCGGCTCGGCCCGGCGCTCGGCTCGGCGCTCGGCTCGACTCGTCACCGACGGCGCGGCGTGGCGTGGCGTAGCACAGGGAAGGCGGCTTCCTGTCCAGCCGGAACTCGCGCGGCGGCGGGTAAAATTCAAACCGCCCGAAACACGCTCGGACTTGCGCGCGACCGCGCGGCGCTCCAGGTAATCATGCGTGCCGTTCCCTCCCCCAGCGAGCACGGCGCAGTAGCCTAGTGGGTTAGAGAGAGTGTTCTGCCGCGCTCCGAGCGCGGAGGCACGGGTTCGAGTCCCGCTGGCTGCCGGCGCCTTTTTCACCGACTAGTTCCAGTTTTTCCCGTGAGGGCGCGCTGGCGGCGCTGGTGAGGGGTATAAATCCAGGCGCCCCGACCCCACGAGCATCATTCTTCGTTCAGTCGGTGACCAGAACACATCAGCACGATGACTTACGCTATCTGCGACATTCAGATGCTCCGGGGGAAGCACGGCGAGTATGTTCTCAAGGAGGTTTCGTTCTATGAACAGAACGAAGCGGCCCAGATCCACAAGTCGGCCACCTTCGCTCCCCCATACCCCGGAGACGAGATCCCAGAGAAGCAATTGCGTCAAAACAAATACATCGTGAGGCGCTTGCATTCCCTTCCCTGGGAAACTGGCTTCTCGCCATACGACAGGCTCCCTCAGACTCTGAGTGAGATGTCGGCGGAGTATGACTTCCTCTACGTAAAGGGGGATGAGAAGAAGAGAATTCTTCAATTCTTCTTACCCTCAAAGAAAATATTTGATGTAGAGAAGTTCGGTTGTCCTAGCCTCAAAAAATTACCCAAGGCCTGGGCACCTTGCCATAATGATACCATAGGCTCTCACAGCTCCAAAACTTGTGCCGCGCGCAATGCGAAGCGTGTGGGTTTATGGATGCAGGTGTACCTCAACTCTCCTAATTGAGGGTGCACTGTAAAGAAAAAACTGAAAACACAAAAAAATCATAAAATGATAAAAAAACTCCCTAAAAATGAAGCCAATGATATCCGTCTGATTAGGCGCTTCGGGAGATAGCAAGCAGGCCCGATGGGCTGACTACCCAACAGGCGCGCGCCGGGCGGCCTGCCTCCCAGGCGGCGCGCGGCACGGAGCGCGGCGGGCCGGCCTACCTCGCAGGCGCCGCCACGGGTGACATTCCAGCGCCATGCCTGGTCCAGCCTTAGGTTAGAGCCCTCATCTTGACCTCCCAGACTTAGGTTAGGTTGGGTTAGAGCACTCATCTTGAACGCCACCAAAAAAAAATCCAAAAAAATTAGGTTCAGTTGGGTTACACCCTCTCACGACACCCCCCACCCCCCCCAGGTGACATTGTCCCGCCATGATGTCGGACGGTGACATTTTCTGTACCTTACTACTTACCTTGGCCAGCGGCGCTAGCCTGCCTTCGGCAGGCTGCTTTCCTAGCCAAACCGTAGGATAAAGCGTAATCCTCACAAAAAAATTGAATTTGGTGATCAAAATTTTCACTAATGGGACTTAATTTTAGGTCGGGGGTCCGAATGGGTTCTAGTTTCGTCATCAGCACCCTCTGAAACATAGAAAACGATATGGAACTTGTCTAAAAGTTAAAGGTACTAAATAAATTGTCTTTTTTCTGCCGTTTTTCAGTGTTTATTGGCTAATATGACCGAATGGATTGAGGTAGAAAGCTAAATTTTGGTGTGTGGCGAGGCAAGGACATACCTAATGACCCTGCAAAATCTCAGCCAGATCGACTAAACCGTTCAGGAGGAGTAGTGCACTGCACACAGACGCACACACACACAGAAAAAGTTTTTTAACCCCACTGGAGTAAAGGGCTTCGCTACCGCTCAGCCAATAACTTAAGTCTGGTCAAAACTATGTGATAGTTTCAGGAATACTCAACACTTGGAATACAGTTTCCGGTAAAATGACCGATGCCGGTTCTTGGTTACGCAGGAAAGCAGGTGGTTTTAACGAGGTGGTGTCTCATGACTAATAAAATTGGCCCAGCGCGTGCTCTGGTTGTTTTTCCCGGGGCATATATTGCCCCTGAGGGTCGTTAGGCACCACTAGTAGAGGCATCATGAAACTTTTCGCAATTCTTTTCGCGACGCTCGCGCTTTTGGCGGTAAGTTGCGAAAGCAGCAGCGCAAGCATAATACAAAAGGTACTTTTCTTCGCATTTCTTCTTCTTCCTACCTAACAAGGTAGGTGTACGCCAGACCATGTCTTGTCGGAACAGGCTTCGCGATGCTGCACCAGTTTCGACAATCCACGCCTGGCGTTTACACCTACCTTGGCCTGCGGCGCTAGCCTGCCTTCGGTAGGCAATGGCTTGTCCATCGTCGGTTTCTTTCAGCTTGTTGCATGCTGGGGGGCTCCACCCTCCAGACGCCCCTCAGATCACACGATCTTGACCCTTGAAACTTTTAAACTCGGCAAGGCTGGGGGCCCTGCCTCCCAGACCCCCCTTTCCTCACGACAGAAGGCATCTGCCTGCAGACAACTCGATTTTTGGCCGTTTTTAGGTGTTTTTCGGCAATGAAAACTGAACCAGATGAGCTTGGGTAGTGTGCCGAGCCAAGGACATACCTAAAAAGTGTGCAAAATCTCACCGAGATCGGCCGAGCCGTTCAGGAGTAGTGCACACAGACACACACACAGACAGACAGGCATGAAAAACTTTTCAACCCCACTAGAGTAACAGGCTTCGCTATCGCTCAGCCAACAATTCTTATTGCTTCATATTATGCTTGCGCTGACTTTACTGAGACATGCACTGCATGAAAAAGTGTGAATAGTACAACAAAAACTGTGCAATGAAAGTACCAGAGGAACTGTATACAGTACAACGAGAATCGTTCAAACCACTACGACGCCAAGCACGCGTTTGTGTGTACTTGCTAGCATGCATTTTTTAGTGTGTTCGAAGTAGACAGTTTAGGTTTAGTGTACTCAAGACTCAATTTCTGAAGATTGTTCCTCTCTTTGTCTTCAGGCAACACCCGCTGTCGTCGCCAACTCTCTGATGGCACGCCAATGCAAACCCACGAGTGGAATAACATTTATTTGCCAGCATTGAATCGCTGAATTGACTACTCGTTTGCGTGGGTCACTATTCGATATCTCTATTTCCTAAACTAATGAAATAAGAATTTTATCAGCAATATATGGGAAACATTTTGTCACACTGAGAAAACCTTACAAACTATTTTCAGCCTTACAAAGAAAAGTAGTTTGTATAACAAAGTATTTTGAGCATACGTAAGCTTACAAAGAAAATACTTCGCAATTTACGAACTATTTCTTCGTATAACAAAGTATTTTAGTTTGTTATATGTATGCTCAAAATACTTCGTAAGGTTTTAAGAGTGCATGCTTTCATTGGAAACCAGTGAATAACACAATATTGATGCGAATATGTTATCATAGTTTACAGTAGGCTGATATGAACCAGTTTACGGAGACCAATTATTGTCAAATCCAGTGAATCGTCTCTTGAGAGTCCAACGCCAAGGCTAGGCTTACTTTATGCTTCTCGGCAAGACCTATGAGCGTTATCTCGTTCCCGGGTGATTTCGGAACTCTGATCCCCCAACTCGTCCCCGGTACGGGCCGAGTCTAGACAACAAAGGGAGTCAGCGTGGGGGGCGTGAGCGGGCGCGGGGGCAGAAATGCCCGAAAAAGTCCACTACACCGCCCAGCGGGGGCGAACAAGGCCGTGCACACTGGTCACATTTAAGCTGTAACTTTGCTAACA